TGTGTGTGTGTGTGTGTGTGTGTGTGTGTGTGTGTGTGTGTGTGTGTCCCTGTGTGTGTGTGTGTGTCCGTGTGTCCGTATGTCCCCCTGGGGGTGTGTGTGTGTGTGTGTGTGTGTGTGTGTGTGTGTCCGTGTGTCCGTATGTCCCCCTAAAAAAGGCACACGATTTATTATATTATAATTATGATAAGAAGAATCATTATTATTTAGTAACTGACTCATCTTCTCTTTCTGCCATCACAGGTCTAAACTTTAAACAATCGCTTTCCAGAAGAGGAAGAGAAAATTGCACTACTTAGAAGCATACACATATTATATGCATAAATATATATATAAATATATACACATCCTTCCCTCCTCCCCCATGAGTGGATTTTTTCTTGTTATCTGACTAGAGATCCTAGAGGAGATCTGGGGACTTCTTGCTTTTCATAATTAAAAGAAAGAGAGAAGAAAAAAGCAGCCAGGAACCATTTCATCCGCTGCTTGGTCGCTGCCTCCTTTTGCAAGATGAAGAAGTTTTTTGACTCCCGCCGGGAGCAAGGAGGCTCTGGCCCGGGGTCTGGCTCCAGCGGAGGAGGGGGGAGCACCTCGGGCCCGGGGAGTGGGTACATCGGCCGCGTCTTCGGCATTGGGAGACATCAGGTCACTGTGGATGAGGTATTGGCCGAAGGTAAGAGAGAAACGGCTGTGAGTGCTTTCGGAACAATCCTGTTCCTATGCTTAAATTTTCCGGATTTTCAGTAAAAATGAGTAGACTCAGGCCTTTTGAATCTCCTTCGTCCCCTCCCCTATTCCTTGTCCGCGGATTCATTGTCCTTGAGTAGTTTAAAACTGAGATATGAAAATGACAGGTACCCTTTTTCACAGACCTTTATTATATATATATGTATATATTTTAAATATGAAAGTGGCTATATTGCACCCTACCTTTCAGTGCTGTCTTGTGGATCAAACAAACTACTGTATGGGAAAGCCCTGGAAAAAGTACTTAGCAGTAAAAAAATAGATGGGGGTGGTTGTTATTTCTTTACGGAGAATTTGGAATATGGTGATGGGGGAGATTTGAGGAAGAGTTGGAAGGGGTGAGGAGAGAGATTCTCCTTCTCCTGACTTTCCTTTGCTATCAGTAGACATCAGAAAGAAGAGAGGCTTTTCAGAGGAAAGGGAGTCTGTTTTCCCAGATGCACAGAGCCTAGCGCCAAGGCTCTTGGTGGAAGGAGCCAGCTTTGCGCCCCAGCTCAGCTGGAAGCAGGTCCTCAGAGTATAGCAGAGGTAGCAGACATGATTTGAAATGAGTCTGTTTCTCAATTCAGATATGGAAACCTTTCTTCTGTTTGTTTGGGTTTTTTTTTCTTTTTCTTTCTTTTTTTGTTTGCTTTTTATCCAAGTGGAGAAATACTTGAAAAGCTTATAAAGGGGAGGATGTCTCACTTTGATTTCCCTCTCCTTTAAAGAGTATGGACCCACCCCAAAGTATATGCATATGTCATATCTGGCACATATATGACATTTGTACTGCTATCTCAATGTATGTGTGGTATATATTATATATGCATCATATATGTTACATATTATATATGTAATGTTTATATCTATATCTTAATTCCTTTTCCCCTTTCTCTACCCTCCCCCTGACTTCAGGGATAACTTTGTATGTCTGTTTTGGTAACCTTATCCTCGACCTTAATAATTATGCCAGACTCATTATATTTTTCACAGTCCATTGCATGCCCAGCATGTCTTTATTTTTAATAAAAGCAGAAATTTCCTTGGCGTGAAGCTTTTGAAACTAATTGGTTGGAGCCAGCCTGCTGAAGGCAGTAATGTAATGGGGATGGGGAGAAGGAGCAGGCCTGTATTTCTGCAATAAGCAGTTTGGAGCCATCCAAACTATGAGGACAGGACCCCTGAGAAAGGGAAACCAAAGAAACTGGGGAGAAGAAAGTGGGGGAATTCACTTTAAAAGGCTCTCTGTCATGAAAAAGCCAAGTTTTAAGCAAGCCCTGGGTCCTGACCTGGGGCCTCTGAAATGCCGGTCATGGTGAGTGCTTATAGGCAGGGTGCTGACAGGGTGGTGGGAGGAGGAAGGAGCTGTGTTTGTCTCTGAGCTTGTATAATCACTGGATTCAGCTAGGGCCCAGTTCTTTGCCAGGGGGATTGAAGCCTCTAGCCTCCTCCCCACCTCCTTCCTGTAAGAAAAAAAAAAAAAGGAAAAATTCCCTTTTTTTTCTTTCTGAAATTTATTCCTATTCCCTGCCTTTTTATAGCTAGACCTTTTCTGGTAATCAAGGCACTGTCTCTGAATTCCTACATTAAAGGCTTTTGGGTTAGGATGGGAGACTCCCCACCTCAGAGTCTGGTCTTTCACTTCCATCCCTGTACCAGAGTCCTTGACTGCAGCAGAGAGGTGAAGTATTATTTTCCCCCTTGGGGAAACAAGGAGAAATGGATCTGTTACCCTCTTGCTCATCTTGATCCCAGTGGTCCTCTGCTGGCGTGAGATCCCTGGAGAGGACCTTGTTCACCTTAGGACTGTTGCCCAGTCTGCCTGGGAGGGGATTTTGTTGAGAGCAAAGGGGTAAGTGGGAGGGGAGGCATCTAGAGCCTTTCTCTTTATCTGGCTTCAGGGACTGTTGTTGGGATTGCTTTTTTTTCCCCCCTGAAAGCCATTGATGAGAACTGCTTTGTCACATCATCATAACCAAGCCCATGACATATGGTACCTGAGAAGGGCTTTGCAGCCATTGTTGATTTGGAATCACAGGAAAATGGAATTAGGACTATTTGACCAGCAGAGGAGACTGGCTCAGCTACGGGAAGACCTTGTTCTGGTCTTTTCACATCAGGTTATAGAGGCTAGATCTGAAGCTTTGGGCCTATCTGTTCCCTAGTCTCTCGTTGAGCCTGAGTCAGAGGCTCCAGGGAGTGGGGTAGGGAGGAGCCTATATACAAGGTATTTATAGAACTTATACTAAGTGAGTTCTGTACAAGGTGTTGTGGGTAAATGCAGACCAGAAAGAGTTAAAGATTCTGCCTTCAGGGAGTTTACAGTCGTGGTAAAGGACATAGAAAAAGACAAAAAACAAAACAAGGCCACATATATTTATATGTATGTATGCGTACATGTATGTGTGTACATATAAGCATAATACATATACATATACACATAAATATACATATGTATGTGCATATGTATATGTGCATGTGTGTATATGTAAATACAAAATGAGTAGACTGGACATACGTCCTAGGAGCTTAGAAGAGGTAGAGAAACATAGAATGTCAAAAATGAAGGGTCTTTCCAGGTCATTTATTTCAGCCTTCTCATTTGCAGATGAAGAAACTGAGGAATAACAGATTTCATTTAATAATTTAAGCTCTTAACTTTCAATAACATTGTGAAGTAGGTAGTACAAATGTGACTATTCTTGTTATACAAAGGGGGTGGCTGAGGCTTTGCAAATTCTTGTGGATGGAGTGCCAGCCTTTGATTCAGAAGACCTGGGTTAGAATCCTGGCTTTAGAGATTTTTGAGGCCTCAGTTTCCTCCTTTGTATTGGGTATAATAATACCAACCTTAAATATTTTACAGGGTTTTTGAAAAGAAAGTTTTTAATGAACCATAACACACTATGGGAATATGTGATTTTATTTTTCAGTGACCAGCCCAAGGTCTTACTACTTGGCATTGGTGGGGCTGGAACTTGAATTGGGATCTCCTAACTCCAAGTCTCCTAACTCTTTACCTCATACCAAGATAGCCCTTGGTTCCGTAGAAGATGTCATTGAAGAAGTAGGACTTGACTGAGACTTTAAAGGATCAGTCACCTTTATTTTTGTATCCTCAGCATCTAGCACAGCACCTCAGTTAAATGTTTTGTTAATTGATTGGGTAGGATTCAGGTAAGTGGAGAATGGGTGAGAGCACAGTAGTGTGAGTGAAGGTGAGGAGGCAGGAATGTTTGTGCATGACCTGTTTGGGAAAAAGTTAAGTAGACCATTTTGGTTGAAATGGCCTCTTCCCCAGATTGCCCACCATGGGTTACGTAAAGAGCTTCGTGGTCAGCTATTCCTGGGAGTCTTACCATGCCCTTTCAGGTCTTGACCAATCAGCTTATAGCTTTTTGGGTTCTATTACCTCCTGCCATAAACTCCTTTTCTCCATATCAAATCTAGGTGCCTATATGTCCATATCTTCCAGCCACGTCTAGACTATATACTAGTCTTTCAGTCAGCAGGCATTTATTAAGCTCCTACTGTGTGTATGCCAGGCCCTGGGGGACTACATCAGGAAACAGCATGGTGGGGGAACCTCAGGCTCAGACCCATCGCTTACCATGTAAATACCATGGACTGTCTCATGTGAGCTTCTGTTTGTGGCCTGTAGAAAAAGCTAACAGTGGGGGCAGCGAGGTGGCGCAGTGGATGGAGCACCAGTCCTGTAGTCAGGAGGACCTGAGTTCAAATCTGGCCTCAGACACATAACACTTATTAGCTGTGTGATCCTGGGCAAGTCACTTAACCCCATTGCCTAGCCAAAAAAAAAAAACAAAAAAAAAATGAAAAAGAAAAGGAAGAAAGAAAGAAAAGAAAAAGCTAACAGTGGCGTATGACCCTGAAGCTGTAACAGGAGGCCAGTTTCAGAGAATGGACTGACACAAACAGGAAGGTCTTTATACCTTCATGCTTCTGTTCTTCAGACAGCCTGACCCCTGTTAGGTTTTATAGGGTAGCAAGCACTTTCGGAGGCCTGTTGGTACAAGAAGGAAGGGTGTCAGAAAAGGTTTCTTGACTCCTCATTCAAACAGTCTCTAACTCTAAGCTAGGGGTGGTCCTCTCACTTGTGTTGTTCTTACTGAGGGAGCTTGGGTAGGTCAGTACTAGGGCACTGGGCAAAACTGTGATATTGGGGAAAGGTCTGGCTTGGTTTTCTAGAACCAGAACAAGGAAAATGGAAGCAAACACCTAGTGAGTTTTAAGGGCAGGAAAGAATTTAGAGCAGGGGTGGGGAACTTGTGGCCTTGAAGCCACATGTGGCTTTCTGGTCCTTAAGTGTGGCACTTTGATTGAATCCAAATTTTACAGAGCAAAAAGATTTGTTTTCACAAGTAATAATAACGCAGGGTTTTCCTTCAGTTGACCCCTTCTTACAAGGAATGTAAAAGCAAACCTTAAGAAAGGACAGTCTCCACATATTCTATTTTATTTTATTTTTTTAGGCAATTGGCGTTAAGTGACTTGCCCAGGGTCACACAGCTAGTAAGTGTCAAGTGTTTGGTCTGGAAGAATGGAAGCACAGATCTGTGAAGGGACCGAGGTTCAGGTCTCAGTGCTGCTTCTTTATTACCTGTAGAGGCTTGGACAGCTTATTTCCCTTCTTTGAGTTTCATATTCTTCATCTGGAAAATGTGGGGGCTAGATGAAGATGATTTCTCAGGTTCTTTTCCAGGGCCCTGTTAGAATCTTTTGTTTCCGTGAAACTATCTCTCGTGTGAAGCCTTGCCTGATTTCTCCCCAACCTCCAACTGCTAGTGTCTCCCTCAATTCACCTTGCATTTATTTTGTATATAGTTATATGTATACATGTTGCCCTTTCTGATAGAATATAAGCTCCCTGAGGGTAAAGACTTAAATTTTTGTCTTTCTAGCCCCAACACATACATAATAGGC